CCATTCCTTCCGTGCAGGTAAATCTCCGCGTTTCGGCTCCGCACTCTCCCTCTCTCCCTCCCTCTCTCTCTCTCTCTCTCTCGCCTTCTCTCACCCTTCTTTTTTTTCTCTCGCTTCCTTCTTTACCTCTCTCCCGCCCTCGCTCCTGCTCCTACCCGCTCTATTCCGACCGAAACTACGAGCCGAGAAGACTGGTATCGTCTACCTCCGTGCCGATCATCGATCCAGCCAACGCGATGGTAGCCGATCGTCTTCTCTCGCTTAACGCGACGCGACGTCCCCGTGATCGTGAAATCGAGACGGCCGAAAAACCGTGGCCTGGCAGCCAAACGAATCCCGTGAAAACAAAGAAGGCGATCGGGGCCCGTTCCCCGCGTCCACCAGCGGACGTCGCCGACGTTTTTCCGCCGCTGTGCGCGCGGACCAGCTCCGCCGACCTTATCTTAACCGGGACAACGTTAATACGAATCGTTAACGATCCAGAGGTTCCACGCGGGCCAGGAGGTCACGGGAGGGAGCCAGAGAACGAAGGCGAAGCGAGCGGAGAAATCGAGGATCGAAGCGTCAACAGGTTGGCCCGGGAAGTGGCACCCTCGAGTCGATCGAGGGTTCGCACAACTCCCTCGAGGAGGCTCGAGCCGGGCTTATACGTCCAGCCGGAGTTGTTTAAGCGGTTGTACAAATAGAATACAAAGCACCGTGCAAACAACGGCTAAAAGGTTTGAGTTGTAACGCGCTCGAACGCACTTCACGCAGGCAAACAGCTATCGGGACTGTCGCGATCCGGACGTCTTTGCCTCAGACCTGCGCTCTCTCTATACCTCGTCGTGCCTCTGCAGCCTCCAGGGATCCATTCGAATTACCCATATCTCCGCGTTCTTCTCCCGAACTTCTCGCAAACTTGGCCAACTTCGCGCGAACCACATCCGGGAGCCGGGGTGCGAACCGCCGACTCGACCTCTAGAAGAGAATCGACGGTGGAAAGAGGGAAGGGGTAGACAGGTATCAGCGAGGATCGAAAATCATCCGGTGCTGGGCCCGTGGCAAAACGCGCGTCCGTGTTCCATTATCGCCTAATTGGATGAAGATGCACATCCCTTTGTCCCTGTGGCAGAGAGAAGCCACGAGTCCGTGCTGCGCAGTCCGAGCCGCTTCCTACAGGTGATTTCGTCTTTAGTGGGCATTAGGCGATCCGTGGAGGTAACGACGAGTCGCGTTTAATTGTTTTGTCCCGAGATAATTGAGGAGGCAGTGCCCAACGATTGGCTGTTAAGATGACTTAAGCATTCGCGGCGTTAAAGTGCTCCATTGTTGCACGACATCTTTGAAGTGACGGCTCGCAAGGGCGGTGGCGGCCTTTAAGTAAGAGTTAATCGCTACCAACCCCACCCCTCTGACCCTATCCTTAAGCTCTCGCCTCTTCCTCGCCGTCTATCCGTTCCTCTCTTCGCGCTCGTGGGATAGCTACCGATCCTCTCTCTGCTTTCTCACGAATTCCGCGCGCTCCTTTACGCCGACCTTTTCCTGCTTCTTCGCTGCCGGAAATTCCGTCGCCCGGAAACGAATTCGCTCGAATTCCGCCATCCTGCGTGCACACGTGTCTCCTGCGTCTGCCATGTCGTCGCTGCGCTCAAGCTAGCTCATCCGCGTCGCGATGCAAGCGCCGCGTGACCGATCGATTCGAAATATTGTGACAAAGTTTCGTAATCGATCGACGCCACACGATCCAACGATCCGTGACGAGAGCGTGAGATGATGCCTAATGCACGGCTATGCGTGGATTCCTCTTTGGCTTACCGGCATGTAATAGACAGACACGCGTGAAAATGCCGATCGTCATCGATCATCCGCCCTCTAGATCCCGAGATGGTGTTCCATCGCCGTGTTTCATCCCTGGTGCAACGGAACGGGTAAGCAGTCCGCATAGAGGGCCTCCTGGCGCCATGTTCCGCCTACTAGCTGTAAACGATCGATGTTTGTCAATGACTAGACGCCGCACGCGAGTGGGTCGTTGTAGGTTAGGTACTTACCGCTGCGGACTCGTGGTACGCCATTGGTATTTCGGTGGAATAGCTTTCACCGTTAAAAAGATTAGACGCGAGCGTCATAGTTTTTATTGCAGTCTCGGCAGGCCGTGAAAGAAGATACACAGGGCCGCCCTTCTGCCGCGAATGTCTTCGATTTGCCTAAGCAAACGGAAGGGCCATAAACGCGTGCTTGGCCCTTTCGACCCGACATTAGCATCGCTATCGAGGAACCATCGGCCTGTGTGATTGCTTAATCCTGCGTAGCGCGGTCGAGCGCTCGTCCTGGGAACGAAATCCGGGCTTTCCAGTTGCTGCTCTTCTATCCCTTCCTCCTTCGCTCCCTTAACCCCTCGTTCTCCCTCGCACCGTCCTTCTCGCTCCGTCCCTGTCGCCATTAAAATTTATCCGCGTTTCTATTCCCGCGCTAGAAGCTTCGCTCCGTGCGACCGTACCTGGATGTGTGAGTCTCTCGATCGATGTCCACGCTTCCTGCTCTTTTTCCAGTTGCTGCTCTTCTATCCCTTCCTCCTTCACTCCCTTAACCTCTCCTTCTCCCTCGCACCGTCATCGCTCCTTCTCGATCGATGTCCACGCTTCCTGCTCTTTTTCCAGTTGCTGCTCTTCTATCCCTTCCTCCTTCGCTCCCTTAACCTCTCCTTCTCCCTCGCACCGTCCTTCTCGCTCCGTCCCTATCGCCATTAAAATTTATCCGCGTTTCTATTGTCGCGCTAGAAGTTTCGCTACATGCGACCGTACCTGGATGTGTGAATCTCTCGATCAACGTCCACGCTTCCTGCTCTTTCCCCAGTTGCTGATCTTCTATCCCTTCCTCCTTCGCTCCCTTAACCTCTCGTTCTCCCTCGCACTGTTCTTCTCGCTCCTTCACTGTTGCTATTAAAATTTATCCGCGTTTCTATTCCCGCACTAAAAGCATCACTTCGTGCGACCGTACCTCGATGTGTGAGTCTCTCGATCGAGTCCACGCTTCCTGCCCTTTTTCCGTTGCAACGCCAGCTCTCGGCCTTGCACCGCGTTCCCAGTCATTACCAGCTTTATGGATATTCGAGACTAAGCCGAAAGATCGTTAAAGTTATTTTCGGTATACCGAGGCGCCGATTGCTGGTGGAATTTAAAGAGGACCTCCTCCACCTTCCGGTAAATATTTGCCAGCAACGTGGCCGGAAAAACCGCACGGCTATTCCCGGTGTCGTTTCTCGACCGCCGACGTCCGTGAGTGCACGGTAAATAGAAAACTTTCGAGCGAAAGAAATCGGTTTTTCACTGAAGCAATCATGCGCACTGTACCATCCGAAACGGTTACGCCTCGTTGCCGAATCTCGTACGAGATGGCTCTTATTTCGCCAATTCCCACAATTCCTAGCGATACGTCGTAGTGTCATGTCGATCGTCGATGGTTCGCGAAGTATCGTGAAACGGACGTTTGGAATCACGTGGAATGTCGGACGTGAAAACGTTACACCTGTAACGAGAATGCCGTCGTGGTATTTCGTTCGTTCGTCACAGGTGCTGAAAGTAAAGCACACAGTTACGCGCCCACGTATCCGATAATATTTGACTTGAATGAAAGAAAAGGAGGTGCGTCTGGTTTGTTCCTGCTGCGGCTCAAACAGAGCGGCTTCTACGGTCCTTACACCTCCAGTATTCGCTTCTTTATCTTAATTCCCAAATAAAGGAAACGTCAGAAGAGGTACGATTCGTTATCTGATCCTTTTGTCACGTTGTAGCCAGTGCTCGTCCACCACGAATTCGCTTCCGTGTTATTCTTCCGAACTCGACTTGGTGGTTATATTTATGCAGATATTATTGACATTCGGTTTTCTTTCCTCCTTAAATGTACGCAGTGAGGCCTCCTTAGTATATGTTGTGTGACTCGAAACTTGCAAAATGGGATTACGCTCTTTGTTTCGTTAAATTTTGCTAGATATTCGATTTGCATGAGTTTGATTCGAACCATAGTTATTTCTTTTCCAACACTGGTTGTAACAACGTTTATCTGCTCGAGTACTTTTTATCGCTTTAATGCGATTCAAAAGTAAAGCTATCGTGAACAAGCACGGATAGACATCTGTAAATTTTTATTCAAACGGTTGAAAACTGACGTATTTTCTGTTACTGACAGTTGTTAAAGTAACTCTTTACCTTTATTGCATGCAGCACCATCTTTACGAAATGTAACGAACTGTACATCTGTTGTACCTACTATTTTATCAACTGACGATAACGGAAATGTATTATATCACAAACGGCTGTGATTATATAGATTTATTTATTTTATTTGTCTGCGTACCGTTATAACGGTTATCTTACATTATTATATCTGTGTCATATTAATTACTGTAAATTTTTCCTAACTCGTTACAGAAAAGAATGGAACAAAATAATACATAATAAACTAACATTAGATTCTCGTCCATAAAAAATTGCTTTTTTATATAATATCGTATTCTTTAAATACTAAGCAATTTTATTTAGTTTTAATTCCGATTACTCTCAATGTAATCTTTTTCTGTACTGAGTCGATAACGTTGGAAATATTACACCAAATGATAAGAGGATTCTAGAGACTCAGAAGGGTAGAATAAAAAGTACATCGAATGATAGATCTGTTTTATGTTTTGTTTATGGTCATAAGTCTATCATATAAGTATATTGTTTATGGCGAATTGAAAACGATAAATCTGTAACACTGTCGTGTAAGACAAAAATGTTCTAGATGTTAGGTTTGTTTTGTATTTCGTATATAACATTCTCATTTAATAAGATTTATATGGAGAAGTTTTAGAATATGCTATGAATATTCTTAATAATGGTATAAATAATTTACTAAACTTAAATAATAATATAGATTTTTCATCGCGAACATAGCGGCAAGTTGTATTTTAATAATTTTCCTGCCAATTAGCAATCGATGATAATTTTTATTTTTTACCATGTATTACCCATAAAAAATATAATTTTTATAGCAGTTAGATAAAATGGAGTTCTAATTAGTTCTTGATTGAACCGATTACGGTAATTAAAATATTACACTTGGGAAATTTTTGCAACAATTTATATATGGCTACATTGCAGTGTAACATAGCACTTGAAGTTGGCACAAAATGGATGCTGCTTGCAAATATATCAGTTTCAACTAAACATCGATTTACAAAATGGGAAATCAATTAGTCGGTATCGCGCCTAGTCAAATATTTCCAGTAGAACACTATTTGACAGACCATAGTGACTTATTATTCGATGTAAAGTGAGTACTTTGATCCAATATTGTAAAGGTGGTTTTAGTTTTCAACCAATTTATTTTATGTCAAAGTTCTACACAACATATGTATTTAAAGTCAATTAAAATATTCTAGTTACATCTTTTAATAAGAAGAAAATGTTGTGCTATAATGTGTTTTATATAAGTTAAAATTATTGCATTTCAAAATTATGTATTATATATAATAAATACAACTTATATATGCATACTCTTGTTAATAATTATTCTTTACGTATCTACAGCTTAGGAAGTACTAGATTTTTTAAAGTAGCACGAGCCAGGAGTCAAGAAGGTCTTATAGTAGTTAAAGTTTTTGCTATACATGATCCAACACTTCCACTTTCTGCTTACAAAGAAAAACTTGAAGAAATTAGATATAAATTAGCATCTGCTGTAAATTGCCTACCTTTCCAAAGAATGATTGTGAGTATTCTCGATACATTTCTATAATATATTATGTTACCATATAATTATAACTAAGTATACATTTATATAAGCTCACAGAAAAATCAGGATCGATAATGAGGGAATATGTAAAGTATTCCCTTTATGATAGAATTAGTACCAGGCCATTTTTAACAAGTATAGAAAAGAAGTGGATTACATTTCAAGTTTTATATGCTTTACACCAAGCTCATAAGGTAAGATGATATTTTAAAAATTCTGAAATAAATTGGTTATATTCTTTGGAATTATTATAGTAGATAATTTTCAAAAATAAATTAATCACGCCACAGAGTTTCAGTTGTTCATTTCTTATAGATTAATTCTTAGCTGATAAAACAAGTTAAAATACTTTTCATGGTATTAAACAATGATCATAACTACAATCCTGGTTTGAAAAAACATTTAAACAACAAAATTAAAATATTACTTCTCATTTGACTATAGTTTGGAGTCTGCCATGGTGATATAAAATTAGAAAACATTATGATAACCAGTTGGAACTGGATTTTGCTCACAGACTTTGCAAGTTTTAAACCAACTTACTTACCTGAAGATAATCCTGCTGATTTTTCGTACTTTTTTGACACATCTAGAAGAAGGTACACGAGTAAACAGTATTTACTTTGATAATTATTCTTAAGTTACTATAATAAATTATGAGTTATTATTATATTCATTACTGTTGCATGTTATATGATTTTATATCATTTCAGAACATGTTATATAGCTCCAGAACGGTTTGTGAAAACATTGTCTTCTGAATTAAGCAATACATTATTATTATCAGAACAAGAACTGAAAACAGGTGACTTACATCCAATGATGGATATTTTTTCTGCAGGCTGTGCATTAACAGAATTATATAATGAAGGACATCCACCATTTGATTTTTCCCAACTATTAGGTGCGTTTGCTATATATAAAGATTGTGTATAAATTGTATATGTCATATTACTTTAAACAAACATTAAAAAATTGTATTATTATAATGTATTAAGCATATAGAAACAATGAATATTCAGTGAGCAAGCATTTGGACACAATAGAAGATACAGGAATACGTGAACTCCTTATATCTATGCTAGAAAGGAATCCAACAAACAGAAAAAGTGCTGAGATTTATTTAGCTCAAGCCCGTGGAACAGTATTTCCAGAATATTTTTATTTATTTCTTCAACCATATATGCTTATTTTTTCTGCTGCACCAATTTTATCACCTGACGAAAAAATAAATAGACTTAAGAAAGATATTGGTAATATCATCAACATTTTAAAAGCAGAAGAAAATGAAAAAGTAAAAAGTGACATGAAAAATACAGATGTTACAAAAAGTAGACAATTTGAAAATAATATAGAATCAACCAAGGCTGATTCTGGTCATAGTGAAGATAATACTATTGTAGAAGTTGAAAGTGATCAAAGTTTTGATAAAAGTGATTTAAATCAAATTGACCAAAAAACTGTTCCCATTCAAGAGACAAAGTGTGACAGTCAAACAGATCAGCAATCAAAAGCTAAATTAAATGAAGGTCAAAAACAGAATGTAGATTTAAAAAATGAAACAAATGATTTGCCTTCAGAGCCAGTTGAAGGATTGGTTATTATTACGCAGCTCGTTACCTCGTGTATACGAGGTTTACATCATTCGCAATCTAAATTACAAAGTTTAGAAATATTACTCGAGCTTGCTGAAAACACATCAGATGAAACAATATTAGATCGAATTTTACCTTATATTGTAAGTATTTAATAAACGGTGAATATAGTTATAATACTGATTATCAAATTTTATGTAATATATTGTTCAGTTTCATTTAGTTCATGACCCTGCCCCACGAGTACGAGTATCAGCCATACATACTCTGACAAAATGTTTGCATCTTGTAAAATCAATTCCACCATCAGATGTAAACATCTTTCCAGAATATATTCTACCTGGTTTGGCACATATCACACAAGATGAAGCAGTAATTGTTAGAGCTGCTTATGCAGAGAATATTGCACATTTAGCACACATTGCTTTACGTTATTTAGAGAATGCCCACTTATCTAATTTAGGTAACAAAGAAGGTCCAAAACCAAGTTATGATAATGAACTTCAAACTTTGCACGAAATGGTAACTTATTAAATTGTTTGGAACAATATTTATATATACTATATATTAAAATGTATAATATTATTAGGTGCAACAATCTGTGTCCATGTTATTAACAGATCCTCAAAATTTGGTAAAACAGACATTAATGGAAAACGGAATAAATAAATTATGTATATTTTTTGGAAAACAGAAAGCCAATGATATTTTGCTCAGTCATGTTATTACTTTTCTAAATGATAAAGAAGATAGAGAGTTAAGAGGTTCTTTCTTTGAATGTATTGTTGGTGTTGCTGCTTATGTTGGTTGGCATAGTAGTCCTATTCTTATGCCTCTTCTTCAACAAGGATTGGCAGATTCTGAAGAATTTGTAACAACAAAGGCTATTAATGCAATGGCAACTCTCACAGAATTAGGCCTCTTACACAAATCTGCTCTTTATCAACTTTTATATGAAACTATGGTCTTTCTAGTAAGTTATACTTCGACAATACTAATAAGTATGGGTTAGTACTGTCAAGTATTTACATTTAAAATTGTTTGCAGGTACATCCAGATTTATGGATAAGGCATGCGACTGTTGGTTTTATATCTGCAGCGGCGAGGACACTTAATTTAGTAGATGTTCAATGCAAAGTTCAATCAATGATTCAACCATATTTAAAGCATCCATTAATTCAAATAGAGAAAGAAATTTTATTATTAGAAGCTTTGGTATCTCCTATACCAAGAATTGTTTACGACGCTGTCATAAAATACAACGATATAGAAGAATTATTTCAAGTTCTCGAGCAAAGGCAAGCTGCTCGAGCTAAAGCAGCAACAGGAATAATACCACAATATAGCGAAATGAGTACCTCATTACGAAATGTAAATTGAAAATTTTATTCATAAATATGTTTTACAGTTTTCAAGAGATTTAAACAAAATTTTCAGCTTTTCAGGCGATTAAGTTCAGAATCAATGACTGAAATTGTTGAAGATCAGTTATTGATAATGGAACCTCATTTAATAAAAATCAATAAGTATCGAAATTTAATGGATACAAAGTTAAATACATCTAAATCGATAGATGGAAAATTAGAATTAAATACTATGAAAGACAGGATACGGCATCATATAGTAATACTATATCCTGATACAAAAGCCGATTTAGGTCTTCCACCATTTAAACGATTAGATCGTAGAACATCCGATGGTGTTGGTACATATGCAGCCATGAATCAAGAATGGCGTACAATGTTTGCAGCTCAAGATAATATCCAAGTAATGAAAAAAGATGCGAGATATTTACTTTAATAAAATTTATTATACTAACAGTAATTAATCTTCATTTTTTTTTTTTTTTTTGTAATATAGCACGCCGTTAAAATGTCAGATATGGCGGGAAGTAGCGGGAGTCCTAATCACAGTTTACATGGAGGAGATATCCACCTGTCACCGCAGCATAGTTTATCTGATATGAACAGCATAAATGATCACTCCCTTCCTGAGCGTTCATATATTCAATGTATGTGTTTTTAAAAATGATTTTGGTACTAAGTATATTTTCATTATGAGGGATACAGAAAATTCGATGTAATTTTGTAGACAGATGTGCACCTTGTAGATTAGAAGTAAGACAATTAACGTACAGGAAACAAGAGCAACACGCTGCAGCATTAAGAGCACAACATTGGGCTGATAATATTGCATGGCAAGCTGGTAATTAATAATTGTAAAAATATAATTTTCAAATGTAATGTTGGTATTATAAATATCTTTTATTAAAAAAGGTTCGAGATTATTACCAAGCGGATGGAGGCCGCGAGGAGTACCAGTTGCGCATCTTCACGAACATAGAGCTGCAGTGAATAGGCTAGTTTCTATACCAGATACTAGCTTATTTGCTAGTAGCTCTGCAGATGGATGCATAAAAATATGGGATGCAAGTAAAATGGAAGGTCGAAATATCGCTAATCGTTCTAGGTAAGCTTTTCATATAGTATGTAATTGTATAATATATGCACATATATATACAATTCGTATTATTTATTTCTTAATTTCATTAGGCAAACTTACATGCATAAAGGTGGTCCACTAGTTGGTTTAGCTATTTGTGATCAGGGACAATCATTAGCAAGTTCTGCTAGCCAGTCCGGTACGGTATTTGTTTTACGAATTGAATCTAATTCTAGTAAAACGAGTATTATTGGTACCAGACAATTAGATCTTCAGGTAATTGTATCTCATTTATTTTTTATTTTTTAAATGTTAAGATAAAGTAATATTATAAACATGAATTATTACATTTAGGAAGAAGGATGTGCAGTTGATCTGCAGTATCTAGACTCTGGTTCCCAGTCGGTTCTTGTATACGCGTCTCTATATGGTTCATTGGTAGGATGGGATTTACGATGTCCTGGTACAACATGGCGATTAGAAAATGATCTAAAACACGGAGTAATTACCTCATTTTGCGTAAACAATTATCAACAATGGTTGACTCTTGGCACAAGTTCCGGCGTACATACGTGTTGGGACTTGAGGTTTCAATTACCAATAACCAGTATTAAACATCCTACAAGTAAATTTACTATGTTTTAAAATCACATCAAATAAAATATAGCAAATAATCCTCGAATTTTACACGAAATCTTTCTAATTTCAGATGCAAGAGTAAGAAAAGTAATCACACACCCTACGGAACATTCGTGGATTATTTCGGCTGTGCAAGGAAACAACGAAATTTCAATGTGGAATCTGGAAACTGATTTTCGACAAATGGTTCTTTGGGCATCAAGTGCACCTCCTCTAAGTCATTCGCAAGGTGGTCACAGTGTATGTGCAATGTATTCCGGCTGTATAGATCGTTCGGGTTTCTTATTAGCTGGTGGAACTGATATGAGATTGCGGTTTTGGGATTTAAATACACCCAATGAATCGTATGTTGCACTGCCTGCTGCAAATGATGTTACTCCTCCAAATTCATTGGCATATGAGTTAGTATTTTTGTTAACGTTTGTTTAAGATACCATTCACTTCATGAATATAACAACGTAGTTTTCATATATATTCTATTGTTTCACAGACAACGTTTAATCGATGGAACCAATGTAGTACAAGAAGTCTTAGCTGGAGGTGGTCCTTCGCCATCATCCGGTGGAGGTAACAGTATTAGAACGAGAAATTCTGAAGAAGGTGGTCAGGGTCCAGAAACTCCACCTTCGGGACATCACGACACTATTTCCGCAGTAGCTATGTCAAATACATGTATTCTTACTGGTAGTACAGATGGATTAATACAAGTTTGGAAATGATTGATTTCTTTTCCATCATGTCGCGTTCCAAAACTACATTCAGTGTACAAATTTTTGTAATGCATCACAGATTTATTCTGGAAAAAATAATTTGATCGAACATCGAGATTTTTATGATGGAACTCATGTGCTACATTAATTCTGTGATTTTTATTTGTACATAATATGTAATATATAAATACCGTATATAAGATCATCGATAGTAATTATAATATTATACAATGCATTTCTTGAATGAGACATAAAACTTAGTTACTTTAATACAGCGATTCTTGTGTACTATAAATGATTTATTTTTTTACATAAAAAAAGAAAAGGAGAAAGAGCTTGTTGTACTGTAATATATTAAAACAATAAATTAATGACGTTTAGCTTTAGATAGCGTAATAGCAACGACTAATCGTGCGAATTTAATACGGAGGAAAACGTACTACAGCATACGATTCATGTACAAAAAGAAGGCATTGTTAACAAATTTATCTCTTGGATACATAATTTATACTGCAAATATATACGACTGCGTACTTTTATGTCATTGATTACATAGTAAACTTGTATACCGACTGAAATACTCATAACCAGTGGATGTCTTCGTATTCCCTGATATTGTTACAATAAATCCATATTTTTAACGCATTTGTATACATTAATTATTCATGTGCTAGATCAGTAAATAAATTTATTTGGTTACCAAGGACAAACGGGTGCGGAAGGATAGGGAACTCGACCCGAAAACGCGTAAGGATCAGGATTTATTGTTCTGCAAATAGCTTTCCATCTTTCCTTCCCTCCTTTCCCTTGTCGTCGCCTATGTTGTTGATTATTGTAATTCGGTATTTGATAATTATAATCTGGTCGTTCGCCGAAAAGAATTTCAAGCCAGGGGGCTGCAGATCCAACAACGATCAATAATAAAAATAAAAACAAACTTTTCATTTTCATTGCACTTTTTCGAAATTCTTCACTTTAAAAACTAATTAATATCTGAAAGAAAAAGAAAAAGAATGAACATACGGAAAAACGTATATATTATTGGAATGTATGTGATCGGTAATACGAACTTTCATATTAAACACTTAAATGACAAACAATTACTATAGACATATATTCGGTTGTCTTGAATTTTTACTTTCGAACTTCACACTTTCTGAACTAACTGATTAATGACACTTTTGCCATCAACTTTTCTTCGCTGTTTGAACGCGATTGACTAAACCGGGGAGAATTTGCTTTTACGCAAACATCCGGCGATTCATATTTTTCTTCTTTTATTTGAACTTACGAAAGAGTTTGCGCTGTACTCGCGGTAACAAGTATACTCTCGTAATGAAGAGATGCTGGATGCTTACTACTGTTTTATACACCAACACTGGGTTTTATACCCTACCGCCCGGAAAAATATATTGGTTGGACTTGTAAACATATACACATTTACCTCTAATTGTTTGATATGTTATTGACATTGTAAACTCGAGAGTTTCATTCAACCTCATCCTTATTTCTTAAAGGGACCAATTAGACTGTATTCATCATTTTCTGGTATCTCTCAAAAGAAAATTTAATGCACAATTCCTGCCTTCTATCATTCTTAATCCTTGTGTAAGGAAGTAAATGTCTAAAGAAAGGTTATTGTTATCGTATCGTGATTTATCGAAAATATTATTTTTGATCGATTAAACATAGTCGTTCTAGGAAATTACGAATGGAACATAACAAAGGAACCTACGTCTTTCTATCACATTGAACTTGGGGAAGGCCCTGTCTACTTATTGATGGATGCGAATTAAAACAAACTTTATATTCGCGACGCGTCTCTTGTTTCGTATTCCACGCGTGTACGGATTCTGTCACAACAAAGCACGCGGTAATATAAGGGTTGCGCACTTAATTATAGATACTCATTTATTTGAAATCTCGATACACAACAATTGCAATTGCACGTTTTTGTAAGTACAACTGCTTATCATTAAATTATAACTACAAAAGAACTTTTGGAACTTAACAGATTGATCTATCTTTAAAATTATTTATTTGTTTCAACTCGTTATCGAAAGTAGGGTTATTCCAGTAAAATGCTATAAATTTGTCATTGATTCACTCATAAAACTCCACTGAATTATATGAGACCACATGATAATTTTGTTGATTGCAAACTGCCCTATATACACAGTGATCTTGTGTCAAGGTTAACTCTTTTGATAAAGTATTCGTATAAACATATAAATACATTAACATGTTAATATATGTTCATTACGCTAATTTCAATCTGTATTCAAGGAAATTATTATCTTATCTATAAATCATTATCTTAGATGAAAACGAACAATGTTAATGATTGAAATGGAGCAGAAAATAAGTCAAAATGTGTCTGTTGCCTTTTATAGAATAGCAAATTAATTTGTTAATAGCAAAGAGCCAAGTTTTACGTAACCGTTCTTATTAAGGTTCACCATGACTGGCTATTACTATTTCCTATTACCGTAATACCTGGTTTCCAGGCTGACGAACTATTAATAGCGTTTGGCAGTGAAAGTACGTTCTACAGTTTTGCTCTAAGGAGTTTGCAATCTTCGAATAATTTTTAAGTGAGTTTCGTTCGACTTTCGCGGTTACTACCGATTTTTGAATTTAGACCAAACGATAAGCGAATATGGGTCACGGTGAGCTGGATCTTACGTCAATTACATTTTAATAATACAATTGAACTTGGTGGTTAAAGGAGAAATTAATTATACGTTTACACAGAGTATATTCTTGTAATCACACACCCTACGGAACATTCGTGGATTATTTCGGCTGTGCAAGGAAACAACGAAATTTCAATGTGGAATCTGGAAACTGATTTTCGACAAATGGTTCTTTGGGCATCAAGTGCACCTCCTCTAAGTCATTCGCAAGGTGGTCACAGTGTATGTGCAATGTATTCCGGCTGTATAGATCGTTCGGGTTTCTTATTAGCTGGTGGAACTGATATGAGATTGCGGTTTTGGGATTTAAATACACCCAATGAATCGTATGTTGCACTGCCTGCTGCAAATGATGTTACTCCTCCAAATTCATTGGCATATGAGTTAGTATTTTTGTTAACGTTTGTTTAAGATACCATTCACTTCATGAATATAACAACGTAGTTTTCATATATATTCTATTGTTTCACAGACAACGTTTAATCGATGGAACCAATGTAGTACAAGAAGTCTTAGCTGGAGGTGGTCCTTCGCCATCATCCGGTGGAGGTAACAGTATTAGAACGAGAAATTCTGAAGAAGGTGGTCAGGGTCCAGAAACTCCACCTTCGGGACATCACGACACTATTTCCGCAGTAGCTATGTCAAATACATGTATTCTTACTGGTAGTACAGATGGATTAATACAAGTTTGGAAATGATTGATTTCTTTTCCATCATGTCGCGTTCCAAAACTACATTCAGTGTACAAATTTTTGTAATGCATCACAGATTTATTCTGGAAAAAATAATTTGATCGAACATCGAGATTTTTATGATGGAACTCATGTGCTACATTAATTCTGTGATTTTTATTTGTACATAATATGTAATATATAAATACCGTATATAAGATCATCGATAGTAATTATAATATTATACAATGCATTTCTTGAATGAGACATAAAACTTAGTTACTTTAATACAGCGATTCTTGTGTACTATAAATGATTTATTTTTTTACATAAAAAAAGAAAAGGAGAAAGAGCTTGTTGTACTGTAATATATTAAAACAATAAATTAATGACGTTTAGCTTTAGATAGCGTAATAGCAACGACTAATCGTGCGAATTTAATACGGAGGAAAACGTACTACAGCATACGATTCATGTACAAAAAGAAGGCATTGTTAACAAATTTATCTCTTGGATACATAATTTATACTGCAAATATATACGACTGCGTACTTTTATGTCATTGATTACATAGTAAACTTGTATACCGACTGAAATACTCATAACCAGTGGATGTCTTCGTATTCCCTGATATTGTTACAATAAATCCATATTTTTAACGCATTTGTATACATTAATTATTCATGTGCTAGATCAGTAAATAAATTTATTTGGTTACCAAGGACAAACGGGTGCGGAAGGATAGGGAACTCGACCCGAAAACGCGTAAGGATCAGGATTTATTGTTCTGCAAATAGCTTTCCATCTTTCCTTCCCTCCTTTCCCTTGTCGTCGCCTATGTTGTTGATTATTGTAATTCGGTATTTGATAATTATAATCTGGTCGTTCGCCGAAAAGAATTTCAAGCCAGGGGGCTGCAGATCCAACAACGATCAATAATAAAAATAAAAACAAACTTTTCATTTTCATTGCACTTTTTCGAAATTCTTCACTTTAAAAACTAATTAATATCTGAAAGAAAAAGAAAAAGAATGAACATACGGAAAAACGTATATATTATTGGAATGTATGTGATCGGTAATACGAACTTTCATATTAAACACTTAAATGACAAACAATTACTATAGACATATATTCGGTTGTCTTGAATTTTTACTTTCGAACTTCACACTTTCTGAACTAACTGATTAATGACACTTTTGCCATCAACTTTTCTTCGCTGTTTGAACGCGATTGACTAAACCGGGGAGAATTTGCTTTTACGCAAACATCCGGCGATTCATATTTTTCTTCTTTTATTTGAACTTACGAAAGAGTTTGCGCTGTACTCGCGGTAACAAGTATACTCTCGTAATGAAGAGATGCTGGATGCTTACTACTGTTTTATACACCAACACTGGGTTTTATACCCTACCGCCCGGAAAAATATATTGGTTGGACTTGTAAACATATACACATTTACCTCTAATTGTTTGATATGTTATTGACATTGTAAACTCGAGAGTTTCATTCAACCTCATCCTTATTTCTTAAAGGGACCAATTAGACTGTATTCATCATTTTCTGGTATCTCTCAAAAGAAAATTTAATGCACAATTCCTGCCTTCTATCATTCTTAATCCTTGTGTAAGGAAGTAAATGTCTAAAGAAAGGTTATTGTTATCGTATCGTGATTTATCGAAAATATTATTTTTGATCGATTAAACATAGTCGTTCTAGGAAATTACGAATGGAACATAACAAAGGAACCTACGTCTTTCTATCACATTGAACTTGGGGAAGGCCCTGTCTACTTATTGATGGATGCGAATTAAAACAAACTTTATATTCGCGACGCGTCTCTTGTTTCGTATTCCACGCGTGTACGGATTCTGTCACAACAAAGCACGCGGTAATATAAGGGTTGCGCACTTAATTATAGATACTCATTTATTTGAAATCTCGATACACAACAATTGCAATTGCACGTTTTTGTAAGTACAACTGCTTATCATTAAATTATAACTACAAAAGAACTTTTGGAACTTAACAGATTGATCTATCTTTAAAATTATTTATTTGTTTCAACTCGTTATCGAAAGTAGGGTTATTCCAGTAAAATGCTATAAATTTGTCATTGATTCACTCATAAAACTCCACTGAATTATATGAGACCACATGATAATTTTGTTGATTGCAAACTGCCCTATATACACAGTGATCTTGTGTCAAGGTTAACTCTTTTGATAAAGTATTCGTATAAACATATAAATACATTAACATGTTAATATATGTTCATTACGCTAATTTCAATCTGTATTCAAGGAAATTATTATCTTATCTATAAATCATTATCTTAGATGAAAACGAACAATGTTAATGATTGAAATGGAGCAGAAAATAAGTCAAAATGTGTCTGTTGCCTTTTATAGAATAGCAAATTAATTTGTTAATAGCAAAGAGCCAAGTTTTACGTAACCGTTCTTATTAAGGTTCACCATGACTGGCTATTACTATTTCCTATTACCGTAATACCTGGTTTCCAGGCTGACGAACTATTAATAGCGTTTGGCAGTGAAAGTACGTTCTACAGTTTTGCTCTAAGGAGTTTGCAATCTTCGAATAATTTTTAAGTGAGTTTCGTTCGACTTTCGCGGTTACTACCGATTTTTGAATTTAGACCAAACGATAAGCGAATATGGGTCACGGTGAGCTGGATCTTACGTCAATTACATTTTAATAATACAATTGAACTTGGTGGTTAAAGGAGAAATTAATTATACGTTTACACAGAGTATATTCTTTTCACGGTAATTAGGTAAGATCGCTGGTAAGAAAAAGGTTCCGATGCGAATAGGTGAATCAGGAAACGTGAATGTTGAGTGAAGTAACGTGTATTTTACGCATGTACGATTGTTAATATTCCTCGCGGACGTGGTTGAAAACACATGAATAAAATAGCTTCTATAATAAGACGGAAGAATAGAATGCGTAAAGCGATATATGTACATTTATTTCCAGTAAATAATTTTATTTTTATTTAGGATCAGAGTTGAATGTTATTTTTTCGAATTCAAAGTATAGAAGATAAATTATCTTCGTAATTTATACTTTAAAGTATAATAACAGTCAATGCTAAGAAATGATACTGTAATATGACCGATATAAAATTTCTCAAATTAAATTAATACTAAAAAATTAGTTTCGACACGATAACGTACAAGTGAAGCGTTTCTTTCGAAGGTATTCGAGGAATTTGAGGCTCATATATTAAATTTGCAGCTATGAATATGGTAAATTGTCTAAATATTTTGAACAGTAGTTTCCTCTGGGCAGCTCGAAAACAACTGCACTACGTACGTCAGTTCTGCTTTACTTCTGACTAAGAAAGCTTCTGTATTTCGGTTTTCTCGAGAATTCAGGTAGTTTTGTCCTTCTTTAACTATCTCTTCAGATGATATGGAAGCGGTTAAGGATGGTAACACCAAAGTAATACGATATTTTTTTCATCATAAAATAAACAAATTTCTTCTTTCTTATTGCAAACATTTTTTCTATCTTAGACATTTTTAACGATCGAATTCGCACCACGATAATGTCCAATAGTTTTGATATTGATGATAACAGTATTCAACAGATTAGGAATTGTATAAATCTATCGCTAAAAATGCAACGAAGTTTCAAGAAAATGAAGAGGAGCATCCGTAAGATAACCGGTATGTCGGTAAAAATTTAGAGATACCTTGCTTAGATAAAAAAAGTACGATATTAATGTACTATTTTTCCGACGTGAAATTAAATTGCAAAAGGTTTGAGTTTACTGTACCGTGTTACTTCCCTGACTCTTTGGTATTACAATATCAATTTTTAAAGGAATAGAAAAATTATCGTACAAGACTATTTTCAATACTTTTAGAAACTTCGACGAGTGTTCAACCTCACTGCGTTTTCGTAGAGAACATGCAAGACGATGAGAAACAACCACTGTACGTAATTCCGGAACGGCTTTCTTCTTTAACGTGCCAAACGGGATTTTCAAAGGACGAAATACGGAAGCTATATCGCGCCTTCAAGCAGTATTGTCCTAGAGGGGCCGTAACCACGAATGATCTAAAACCAGCCTACGCAAAGTTATTTCCATTAGGAGATCCAGCGAAATATACACAAATCGTTTTTAATACTTTTGATAAGGATAGGGATGGTATCGTCAGCTTCGGAGATCTCCTGAACGAAATAGCCTTAATTACCAATGGTGACGTAGATCAAAAACTCGCATGGATTTTCAGGTAATCATTTAGCCAAATTATTTGTTGAAACATAACGCGTTTAATGTTACTTTCTACTTTGGTCCCACATCAGATTTTACGACTTAAACGGGGACGGTTATATCACCAGAAAAGAAATGTTGGTTATAGTGTCCGCGATTTATGAGATGCTACATAACGGGCACATTATTCAACGAATGGTCGACAGGCACGTGGATAAAGTTTTTGAAAAGATGGACATTGATAAGGATGGAGTTATATCCCAGGAAGAATTTATGAATGGTTGCAAAAATGTACAGTCAATTATATAATTAATAATTAATAATTATTAATAATAATTAATTGAATTCATTGAAAACATATTATAGGAATACCAACTTTGCATTTCTTACAGTACATTTTTATTACAGGATAGTGTAATTCAAAAACAACTGGTAATATTTAATCAATTTTGGTGATGGAGTATACACACATATTGAGATTTATAAGAAAAACTGTACCTTGTAATTTTTTTAATCCTAAAAATATTCTTACATTTACAATAAAATAGTATAATTATAAAACACATTTTTGTTGAAATTAAATAATAAATAATATTATACACAATGACCACCTTCTGAAAAATATATTTTTTACTCTTCTGTGTATAACATTTTGTACTTTTAAAATAGTCTTTTTTGTAAGATATAAAAAACACAGGCAAGAAAAAATGCAAATGCTAATGCTACTAAAGCTTTATCAGTAACTTCCCTCCTACCATATTTGCCTAAGAGTTTTCCACATTGAACTATAACTTGTTGTTGATGTTCTAATTCATCTTTGGTACTTGTAACTTTATCCGATGATATTACTAAAAAGTTCAAAACAACAAATTAAAAATTATGTGCTAATATCTAAGAGTATATTATAAGAAATAAGCTATATACTTAATGTATCCAATGTGTCTGCACTTCTTTGGGTTGTTTCAGCTAAATGTCTAGATATACTTAAAAGTTTGTCAGAAAGTTGACTTGATGTATTTGCTAAACTATGTTTGTCATGTCTTCTACGTGCAGCAGCTTGATGCTCTTCAGACATAGAGAGCAATTCTTCTTTGGCAAGTTCATCTATTACACATACACTAATAATATTGGCTTTACGAAATGCAGCTAATGAAGTGTTAAGTTGTTGTTTGTATGTATCCACTTCTGCCAATAATTCTGTCTTTTTTTTTTCTGAAGGTTCTCTTTCTGCTACAGATGCTAAATTATCTATAGATGTCTTTAAAGCTGTTATTTTTGTTCTACCTTCTATATTTAATTCATTAAGTAATTCTAAAGGACCTGTACATTGCTGAATATCCTGAAAAATCAAAATTATTCTGCACATTTTCTTAAATAAATTAAAATAAAAATATGAATCTTGACTTAACCTCTAAAAGATATATATTACGCGTAGTTCTTACTACAAAAAAATGTTACATTAATAAATTATTTACAATAAGATCTATGATAATTACAAATATAAATGTATCAGGGATACAACAAATATGTTTCACTTATATTATTTGACGTCAGCATAATAAATATTATACCGTAATTCAGGTTATATTATAACTATTATTAAAAATTATTGTTGTAAATAATATTTACTTGTATTAAAGCTGTAACTTGAAGGTGATTTTTCACAATATCTTGATGAATAAGATCTATTGCATGCTGCCCGGTATCCATCGTGGCACGTGTTTTTTGACAGATTCCTTATATGCCTTTTACTGTATGTAAAAATGAAATGTCATTTTAATATAGATTAATATATGGGCGGATAAAAATGTAAAACGCCCATTATTTTTTATGTTAAATTTTTATGAAAGTTGTAAATGTATTTAATTATGGCGATCTAAATATTATGTTTTAATTAAATATTTCTAAACATTAAATTAATTATTTTTATGTACTTCCTGGAATTTTATATATTATTATGTTTTGCAAATCACATATAAAGTAACATAGGTATGAAACATAGGTATAAAATTAGTAAAATTAATAATAGAATGTCATCAAATATACAAAAATAATAGAGGTTGCATATTTTATTAATGTACAATTTGAATATTACACTATTAACATACAACTGGCATTATCTGATTACAAACATGGTTTCAGTTATAAATATAGTGCTGACACAAACATTTTGGCCTTTTTTATCTATAATATGTAACCCTTTTTAAATAAAATCCTAATGTCATAAATCATATCCAAAGCACATAGGTTAGGTAAAATTTATGATGGGATAATACTATGTAATTTAACATAGTTATGTCAAATATTTCTAGTAACTATTCTATGTTGTTCTATATTACATATGTAAGTCTTTTCAAAGTTAATACAGACTCAAAATTAACGAAGGCAGTGTATTACAGCAGTTGTAAATTCTGTTGTAGAACTTTGTCCACCCAGATCTTTAGTTAATACTTTTCCATCATTTAGAACACGATTTAATGCATCCTTAATTTGCTCACTATAACGTTTCAAATTTACATGACGCAAAAGTTTGACAGCACACAAAAGCATGGCAGTAGGGTTTGCAACATTTTTACCAACAGCTTCTGAATATGTATGTCTTGCACCCTATATAGAAATCAAATTTTGTATTATATTTTTATCTACATTTCTAAAAATTTAATAATTTTTTTTGGTTTATTAGCATTGATCTTACTGGTTCAAAGACAACACACTCGGGACTATAACTAGCACCTGCAACCACACCAGCACCACCAACCAGTCCAGATGCCAAATTGTCCACAATATTACCATATAAATTCGGTAATACCATTACATCAAATTGATGTGGATTGGACACCATTTGCATTGTACAATTATCCACAATCATTGTTTCAAATGTGATTCTGAAGTTATATTAATAGTCTGTCAATACTAAATGTTAATAAGAATCTACAAAATAAAAGGTATTTATAATTACCTAGGATACATCTTAGCAATTTCTTGGCATGATTTTAGGAAAAGACCATCACCAAGTTTCATAATGTTGGCTTTATGAACACAAGTAACTTTCTTACGATTATGTTTCACTGCATAATCAAATGCAAACTTTGCAATCCTTTGACTTTTAGCAGCAGTTACTATTTTTAAACATTCTACTACCCCTTTCACTGATTCATGCTCTAATGCAGAATATTCTCCCTCTGTCTGTTCTCTAATAATAATACAATCTACATTTTTGTGACGGCATTTAACACCAGGTAAAGATTTCACATGAACAACATTTGAATATAAATCTAGACTTTTACGTAATTTCATGTTCAATGTTTGAAGCTCTCCAGTGAGAGAATGGTCTGGTGTTGCTAAAATACCCTGAAAAACATGGTGGATATTTAAATTGATATCTTTGATATTGTTAATGATTAATTTTTTAATTTGAACACTAAATACCTTTAAGCATACTTGATTTCTTGCAATACTGTTTGATACTTGTTCAAGTGGTGCACTTAGAGTTGGGTTTACCTCTGAGAGAAAGTAAGGTTCAAATTCAACTGGTACATTTGCAGCTTTGAAAACACTTTGAACAGAAACTACCAATTCTGGTCCAACACCATCTCCTGGTATAAGCGTACATTTTACATTTCCCTCTTGCTCAATAGTCTAAATGAAAATATTATTAAAATTATATGTACACAGTATAAATAAATTTTTAAGGGATAATATAATACATACAGACTCTTGTAGACGAATTGCACCAACATGAATAGACCTGACAGCTCCTTTTTGAGCAGTCTGTAAATAACAATTTAGGTATAAATTAACAAAAATTATGAATGACGTCAAATGAATATAATTTAGTAGTACAAATAAAATATTTTTCTATATATAATAAAATTATAAACATATTCAACAAGCTATATATATAACAATATAGACGTGAACGTAATGATTGAGTAACACATTTGTCGATCATTTAATCTATTTCGTTAATTGAATTTCTAACAGTTTATTTATTTTAACACTTTGCAGTTACAAAATATTCATATAAGCTTTGAAATTTATCATTAAATAAAATTAAATAAAATTAAATAAAATTTGTACGCATCTTTGAAAGAAGTTATTCTATATGTAACGTCCTTGCAATAGTCATTGGTAACTATTTGGATGGATGAACAAGATTTGATGATTTTGAGTTGAAATTCGATGACAGTTTTAATTTATAAAATTGCAAATATTTCACTAAATCAAAGGTTTTATATTATATTTGTATATACATTACCTGTGAAAATACTTTGCAGATGTTCCTCGCGAGTAAAGCCATTTTCGACAATGGACCCTAAATTGTCTATCTCGCTCTTGTATTCATATACCAGTAATGTTTTAAATTTGGAAATTATCAAGAGAAATTAATTAAAATTATAGAAAATTTTTTCTCGTATGTCATATAGAAAAATAGAAAATAAGTACAATTTAGATAACTTGATCTTTCATTGATAATATTAACTTCAAACGCTTATGAATGGTACCTAAGTAGTATGAGGTGCGTACGATGCTGCCACTCGTAATCGTTTTACTTCGCGTTTTTTCGGAGTAGATCGAGTCTGTATAATATCTTTTCATTACTATAAAATATAATGAACAATGCTACCAGCAATTTCAAATAATTCCTCTAGTTTATCAATGATTTACATTAACTTGTTTATTCTACAAACTTATTGCACTATTGTTTTATTACATTTTTATATTAATGAAATTATTAGCAGTCATATTAGACTAACTTTTTATTCGTATTGTATATGATAACAGATAAGTTTGAATATTTTTTTCTTACTATATACCAATGTTCGCGCCGGTCATGTCTGCGTAGTTACAACAGCTGTGTCCAATTCTACTGCAATCAGAAATGTCAAAGATGATAACCTATTTCATTCTGTAGTAAAATTATATAAGACTTATTTGGCAAAATGCATGTTTATGAATATTTTCGATGAGATCCAAATTTTATCAACATTGCAAATTCTGGTGGATTTTATTATGACAAGTTTACCGACATGATTTTGCATAGAAATAGAAACAAGGATAAAAGAAACTGGAGATAAATCATACAATCTATTTTTATAATATAAAATTTTTTAGAAGGAATTGTTATAAATTATAATTAATACGATTTGTAAGTCATTCAAAATATTTCATGAAAATGACTGAAGAACAATTACGTGAGTAATTCTTTTATGTACTATAAACATTTGTTTGTTAAATACGTATTTCTAATTTAGAATATTTGTTCATAAAAACTTTGATTTTAATATACGTTTTTAATATATATTAAACTTTTTATATTTCACATATTTTTTATATTATTATATTAGTGACACTATTAAATGATTTTAAAAATGATAGTATGATCCATTAATGAGTCACAAACAGTAATAGATTTAACTATAAATTTATCATTTGACAATAATAACTTTTGAAGAGATGAAAGCATAGGGATTTAGGTATAAGCATATGTAACAGTGATAGAAAACACTAATGTTAAATTTTTTAGCACAAGAAGTGACTAAGCATAGTTTTCGTCAAAAAGTATGGGATTATTTGATGACAAATGATTTAGTTAATTTTCCTTTGACTGTACATGATCGTATACCAAACTTCAAAGGTGCTGCTGAAGCAGCACAGCGTTTGGCACAATTGGATGATTTTAAGCAGGCAAAGGTTATAAAGATAAATCCAGATAAGCCACAAGAACCTGTAAGATTCTTAGCATTAGAAGCTAATAAGGAAATATTAGTTCCAATTCCCAAATTAAAATCTGGCTTGTTTGTTCATGTTACACCAGTTGCTGGTGCTTCTAAAAATGAATTAAGAACATTATCAAAAATTCATGGCTTGATAGTAGCTGGGAAACCTCTTGGTATAGATTCTAAAATAAAGGTATATTTTATTTATTATTTCAATAGAAATTTATTATTATTTACATCTGTTTTCATCATTTTGTACATTAATCTTATTTGGTCACAGATAGATCTTGTAGTATTGGGGTCTGTGTGTGTTAGTCGTGATGGATACAGACTGGGTAAAGGTAAAGGATTTGCAGACTTAGAATTTGCTATGATGATGAGGATGGGTGCAGTTACACAAGATACCATAGTTATTACAACTGTGCATGACTGTCAAGTCTTTGATAGTCTTCCACCTCAAATATTTAAAGAATATGATGTACCTGTTGACATAATTGTTACACCTACTCAAACAATAATAGTAAATCCAAAGTTAAAGAAACCTAGTTGCATTATATGGCATATGCTTAGCGAAAGAAGAATTAAATCTATGCAAGTATTGCAGCAGTTAAAAGAAATGGATGAAAAGTATGTATTGAAACGTGTAATTGATATTGCACATTGATACATAAATGTACCAAATTGTTATACTTTTCCCAGAGAAGGAAAAATAGTAACTTTAAAAGAAGAGGACTCAGATATAGAAACACAAAAATCTAATCGTTCTCATTATATAAAAAATAAAAGACGTTTTAAGGCAAGAAAACCTGTATCAAGTGTTAATGATGTTAATGAAGAAGGAGAGAAACAGGAAGTAAAGGCAAATTTGCTTAAAAAACGAACATCTAATAAGATGAAGTCTGGGGATGATAATGTATTTTCCAACAAAGTTGAGGTAAGATATACTAATAATTAATGTATATTAAATCTATATTATGTCATTATTGCATTGTTTCAGGAGAAAGTCGAAAGCAACGATAAGAATATGCAACGTCGTAAAAATTTGAGACTGAAATCTAAATCTCAGGTTGAGTTTTCTTTAAAATTATCAAATATTTCATCTGGCGTAAGAATACGCGATTTAAAGAATGCTTTGTTAGAACGCGGTATTAAGCCAAATGAAATAACTTGGTTAGGACATCGTGGTATTTGTTATCTCCATTTTAATAAACTTAGGAAGAATAGTAGTTTGCCGGATGAACCGATACAGGTTGATTCAATAATGGCAAATTTACAGCAGTTATGTATTGGGGTATCTAGTGGAAATATAAACGATTTCATAACGGTGAAACCTGCCAAATCAATATCCAGAATCGAAGTCACAGACGTGTCTTCAGTTTAAAAAACAGTCGAATATTTTCTAAAAATGTACAATTATTTAGGATAATATATATTATTTTAAATAATTGCTCACTTTTCACCATCTATTCGATGCATATTTTTATAAATGCGTTTGATCTGTCGGCGATATACTAACTTCTGTAAATCGATGGTTGTTTATAACTTAAAAATGTACAAAGCTTTATAGATAATTTATAATATATTTATATGTATAACAAGTGCAAAATAATCGTGCGTATTGTATAAAACAAATTAAGTATGCATAATTATCAGTCATTAAGGCATTTAATTTATAATAGTATATTTTTGATAGTTTGTATTGGATAAAAGTTCATGTGAAGATTACTAGTTTGCTCAGAAGTTATGCCATGTTTACATTAAAATTTAATTTGAAACATGTGTTATATCTATGAGGGTAAAATACTCTTTGACAAGAATTGCACGTTTATTATTTTGGTTGATAAACTGACGATAATTATTAATAATTAACAATTTAAATAACATTTACTGTGATCATGTAAAATATATTTAAATCTAAGGGAATTTAAACGGAGCAGGGAATTTTAATGATTTCTTGCGAGATATATTACACAAAGATAAATAATCATGTGAAATGCATATCTAGCATTTGATAATGTTTATTCGATATTACAGACTGATAATGATAGTTTAAGTAATCTTTGAATTATATACAGGGCATACGAATGAAAAACCAATATTTTTCGTTTATGTATTAGATATTCCATTTTTCTGAGAGAATATTTTGACTGGTAGTATATATATGCAATTTTCATATTGTTATACCTTGTAAGCATGTATTTCGCCAGAAATCAGACAACAAAGAATGCTGTAATGTGTGTGGTAACTGAAAAATGGCAATACTTAACAAATAATGAAAATGATATTATTTGAAATTAACAAATTTAGTCAAATATTCTTAGAACATAGAAATAGGTATTATTTTTACTAGTATTGTTACTAATTTCTTTATTATTAACGCTATTGTGGAAACCATTAGCCAGCGAATAGATCGGAAAAGAAACAGAGACTTTAATTGTATGATATTAAAAATCATTCGGTTGAATGCTTTTGTGGAATTTATGTCATTGAATAATAGGTGAATTAAATTTTTAATAGCAAGAAGACGGTGAATCTCCATTTTTATTTCTTTTACTTACAATTAATTCTGTTTTCCCAAACAATATCCACCGATCTACGATTACCCATTATTTTATTAAATTAGTCGACAATGCAATTATATTAATTTTAATCAGCTTTGAATATCATTTTATCAAACTCGAGTCTCAGTTTCCTAATTTTTATCACTCTACTTTCACTCCTCGCTAATTGCATTAGTTTCGATTAAGTTTCAAGAAATTGAGACGCTTCTCCGAAGGAAAATCCAAACTCTTTGCAGATGCGAGAGACGAAGAAGAAAAGATATTTACGAAGTTTCAAGGATCATTAATACTTACGGATAAAATCTTGCTTCGCGTGGCAAGTCTGGTTAAGAGGATCGACTCAATAAATATAATTACACTGGTCAAAACTGTGAAAAAAATGGTAGGAGAGAGAAGTCGATAGTATTTATTCATTTTTCCATTAAAATATTATTTTATATATTTCTTTGATACGTTACTTTAAGAACCATACGCGCTTCGTCATAAATATCGCACGATATCGCGAAGGGTACCATAAATAAACAAAAGGAAATTGTGTACTTTTAATTGTAATCTTGTTTATTACACCTAAAGATTGTGTACCACTACACCTACAGAATTTTCATTCTATTTATCTGAAAAAAAGAAAAAAGTCTACTCATGCTGTCGATAAACTCCTACCACTCTTAAATCGAATTTATCACGTTTGATATTTGCTTTACACTTTTCTTTCCATCTCGTCCCGATAAACACATTTTACAGTTTTTATTGCCGTATTTTCCATAATCCTATATCGATACAAAGTAATTTTTTGTCTTTTCTGCTCGCAACTTTTCATCTTTATCGATATCGATCTTCGCTTATCGTTATTTTATTACGAACCTTCTTGTAAAAGCAAGATCGTGTTTTTATTCGAACAAACGAAGGGAACGAGGCATTCGTTTATCATTTATACATGGTCCTTTCGATTATTTAAATCAGCCCTTTAAACATCAAATTAAAGGGTTCAACCGGTGAAAGCGGAAACTCTGCGCGATTTCATGGTATTCTCTCTTCCCGAATACCAAATTCTCGTTTATAATCCTTATTAAATTTACTTCTATCATTTATCAATAGCGTGGAGAATCTCGCGACAACTCGAGCTTTACCTCTGCAATAAATTCACCTTTATGATAATAAATGCTGATCCAAGATCGACAAAAGGGTTGAAGCAATCGCGTTTCCCTTGAACCTTTCCGCTCGCCGCCATTGCGAAATCCTTAAAGAGGAAGAACAGGGACAGGTGATATTCGAATTGTTGGATCGTTTAATTATCGTTTAATTTCACGTTACAACGTATACTCTTCCTTAACTGCTATTTATAAAATTACATTGTTCTTGGTTTTCTTGATTGTTAGAGGAGCGATCGTTGATCTGTTCTTAACAAGATTTAACCCTTTCGCTACCAGCGTCACAAATACGTGAGGACCTGATTTTCTTATCTGAGCCCGGCGTCACAAATATGTGACGGGTGTTCATTATCAGTTTATGATAATTGTTTGCACCAAATCGTATCGCACACAGACGGGTTATGTTATAAAACAATAAAATAGATACAGGATGTTATTGATCTGGCGACAATTACTTTTTTAAAAAAGACCTGGGCATCACAAATTTATGCTATGTGTTCTTTATCAATATTTTTTAATTGGTTGCACTAAGTGGTGCCGCAAGTATATTAGCTGAGTTATATGTAGAGTTTTTACTTTGTTTTTCCTTTCCAATTTTATTCATTTCCTTTTAATCAAACGTGTCACATATATGTGACGACGGGGCTAGCAAAGGAATTATTTATCTATAGCCCAGTGTTACTTATGTGTGTCGGCTTGTAAAATTGCTAATTTCACTTAGTGAGAACGTTATAGATACGTCCCACAAAAATAAACCACAATTGGTATCATATTTAAATAATAAGACGTCTGGGCTGTGATGGCGGTTTTTCTCCTGAGCCTCTGGTAGCGAAAGGGTTAAGGTACGCGAAATGGTGGCAGGTGTACATTATGGAATAACGATATCCATGGAGAAACTCGCGATTCTGGTAATCTGGTAATCTCTAATCGCAACTTGTTAACACTTTGACTGCCACGTTGGTCATATATGACCGGCCACGGTTTCTCCTGTGACGCCACGGTGGTCATTGATGACCTACTCTTGAACTACTCGTGAAATTACAGTTGTAAAAATTGAATGAAAATTACGTGGCAACTTTCACCGTTACCCACTGTCTTCCGGCGGGAGAAAACTCCGTTGGAGTTCTAGGAAGGCCTAGTTGGGGCCCAAGGACAACAGTCACAGAGGGGGATGCTAGACGCTAAGCTGGGGCGTCTGGATCGGAGCTCACAGCGGAAGAGGCTACGGATACGTGAAAACAAAGCGACGGAGAGGGGCACGCCCTATAAAACAGCGAGGGATGCATTTTTGGGGCACTATCCGTCCAGCGTACCGAGAGAATAAAGAAGCTAGCCAGAAGCAAAGATTCTAGTTCTACTAAAACCCTTCCTACAATTAGTTAATGCATTTCGAATATAACCGCTAATTAGAAAATACTAATTAGAAAATACAGGTAGCCCTCCTACAACACGGCATTCTATAACACGGTTTCACTATAACACGATTCATAAATTGCGGAAACCCTCCTACAACACGGCATTCTATAACACGGTTTCGCTCCAACACGATAAGAAAATTGCAAAAACCTTTGTGCAACACTGTACTTCTACATGAGCAATGACGACGAAGAAATTGATTAAATTAAAGTTGCGTTAAATTAAAATAATATTTTTGTGTTTGTTCTGTTTCGTGTAGTGCATACATTTATATTTCTAATAAAAATTAAGTTATTTATGTAGAATTAAAGAACAAATTTGTTTTCAGTAAGTATTCGGAACGTGACCCCCCTTTTTGTACTGGCTCTGGGTATCATACAACACGGTTTCACACGACACGGCATTCTCTAGGAACCTATCTACCGTGTTATAGGAGGGTTACCTGCACTTCGAAATAAAAAGTGCCCCACTGAACGATTAAAAATTTTTATTAGAACATCGATTGAAATAATATTGGAACAAATCTTGCATCTATCGGGGTGCACTCCCGTGGCGTCGTGAAACATGTGATTTCGACAGTCAAAGGGTTACAGGATACGAAGGATACGATTCCTCCGCGACCTCGCGATTTCGACCTCGTTTATAACGTTAGAAAATGTACCAGAACCGAGGCTGCACGAGTTCCGCAACTTTCTAAGAGGGAAGTTAAGCAGCACATACTAACTATTAAAGTGAGGAGCAAGCCGCACGAAGATTGTTCGCGGCTATCTCTTAAATCCTGTGCTTGCTCGAGTTCTTTCCTTTCTGCGGAATAGCTAGGTCGAGGAAGAGGAACGAGCTCGCCTCTAACGACTTCCTCTTTCCGTCTGCTAGATTTTGGTAAAATATTCTTTAAAAGGCTTCATTTTGGTCGAGTGTTTCTCTCCTCTTTCTCTCTCTCTCTCTCTTATAAAAATAAACAATACGCTTTTCCTCAGGAGAGAGCAAGAAGCGGCGTGAGATCAGTGGGTTGAGGTACGAGTTCATTTTTATTCGGAAAAGAAACCCTATTCGTCGATACTTATCGTTTAACTCTTTATCGTAATTGTCTACCGTTTAATTATAAACTTCGAGTATATCGGTGTCGAGTAAGTATGTCTCTGCTAGAAAGATTACAAAAAGAAGACAGAAGAAAGGAGAACAATGGTCATACAGATTTTCGTTCGTCTTACCTTTACTAAATTCACGTGTATCACATTAGTTCCTGATAGTCACTGGTCCAAGGAAATCCATTGTCCCTAGATTACTAGGTCAATTTACCACGATCGAACTTTCCTAAGTACTATGCTACTCGAGCAATCGGGCACTGGTTTTCAACTACGAGCACTGTCCGATACGTTCTTTCCACATCGAGGTCCGTTCTTGGGGCGTCTAGACGGTGTTTACGACGTGGAAGGTTCAGGACTAGCATCGATGTAGTCGATATCCGACGAGGTTGCAGTACTGGCTCGTCTTCCTTGCCTCGGTGATGAGCTTATGCGTGTCTTCACGTTGCTCGTCGAGACGCTGAGGAGGTTTCCGGTACGCTGTGGCGGCTGCTGCTTCGTCCTGCAATCAATATATCTGTAGGATTTCTCATATCTGTAGGATAAACAACAACTCCCTTTTTGATAACAGAACAGGTTTATTTAATTAAAATATTACGCTAAGTTTCTATCAATTCTAACTCTCAAACACACGATCCTCTATTCACTATGTTGGATGACTGACGATTCGTTGGTTCTTAGTCACTAAGTAGAAGGGCCTAGCTGATAAACGCAGACCAATTTTAGAGTCCAAAAACAATTGACTCATTTCTATTTTCACTAAGAGCTAATGGTCATCTTCACCCCGCCAAAAACTAACATTATATAATGTGAGAGGAGTCTTTATTTGGATGGCGTCACCCTGCATCGGGATCTATCTTCGCTTCGAGGAAAATTGATAAACCAGGTTCCTCCATTGCGCTATGAAAGACTAAACACTCAACGCATTCACTTCCAAACCCTAGCATTCCTACATACATAACCACCTATAGATGACTAAATACTCATCTGACACTATAATAATTGTAGGATTTTTTGCTAAATTAATCCTATGCAGACAGAGATCTGCGCGTCTAATAAACAACAACTCCCTTTTTATAACAAAACAGGTTTATTTAACATTAGAACTATCGATCTTTAATGGGCACCTAACTACAAGTGCACAGATTATAGTAATTTCAGCGATACGATGAATATGAGTGAATATATTGATTACAGTTCTCTGAGTTCTATGAGTTGACACCAATTTTATTCTTAAAACAGGCGTATGTGTTCGGTGATTGCAAAAAGAAAAATTCTGGAACCAGTCATTTTGACTGGGTTGGTAGTTCTTGGGTTAACTAAAATATTACACTAAGTTTCTCTCAATTCTAACTCTCAAACACATGATCCTCTATTCACTACGTCTCGACTACACGCATTCTGACTTCTGCCTTTTGCGCCCTTGCATAAGTCTAACTCTCTTTCCTTTCATACGCAAGCTCTCTTCGTTGATTACTTATTCCCCGCGCAACCTCGCCTTTGGTAGACCAGGTAAGTACTTCAAACACTCGGATGGATTCTTAGACTTTCGTTCATTACTTGCACTCGACCCAGTCATAAATATTTCATTCGGTCATCCATTCGTCCACACACACTCCAGGCATCGTACGAAACGCCTAAGTCGAAACCAATACCACTATTTATTATTCCCGTGCTAGAGTTCTTTGTTACTCGCAACCTCACATGTCGATATCGTCTTTGGAGTAATTATTTCTAGAGAAAATCCAAGAAATCTCGAACTGTGTCGATCGACACGGTCTAGGAAATTTCCTAGAATTTTCTCGATTTGAAAGGAGGAACAATACTCCTCGTGACCACTGTTGTTTCTCGACGTTGCGAGGACGAAAGGAAAATATTGCACGAGCTATTTCGCGTATTCGTTACATCGGGAACAACGGCATTTGTACCGAGAAATTGCAGCGTATCAGCTGAACGCTTCGCGCTTTGTACACCGAAGAGGTCGACTTTTGTGTAGTTGGCTATGGTCCAAACGTATCGAGGAAATCGTGATCGAAACTTCCGAGCAGCGTTTCTAACTTTTTCGTTAAACGGAATTTACAGTATATCTACATGCAGCTATAGGCTCCACTCGATCGATAGGTTTCACCCCATCCTTCGAGGGCTCAAAGACCGCTCGCTCGAGAGCATTGATCGTTTATTTAGCAACTTGGTATTTGGCGGAATCGAGGCTCGTGATCCTGTGGCTAATTCAAAATTTATCATTCTCCCCGTGGACTCGTGGCGGAACAATCCCGTGGATGAAACTTCCAGATGTAATGGAAAGATTACATCGGTGTTTCGGAATCCCACTTTGTCAAAGTTTGCCGCGTATTAGTCGCAGTGAGCCTCCTTCGTCGCACCTGGAACCACCTACGCTCGAGATAAGATCTACAGTGGATCGTGAGAGCGGATCATTTGATCCGAGACGTAAGAATTCAATGTGCACGTACTTGTAATTTTATCGGTAAGCGAATGCTGAAGGAATGTGAGAAATATAAAGCCAGTTTAGTTAAAGTTGACAAAGTGTGCGAGATGGATCGCTTTTCCAGGTAAAATAACGGTGAAACTAAATAATCGAGTTTGCTATTGAGAAAGCGCGTAATGATCGTTGTCCAATTTGCACAACATAATTAGATCGTTTATTTACGCGAATTCTGTTTACCTGATAAGGAAAGTGCAAGTTCTTTGGGTCACCGATTTAGTTGAAACTCCGCAGGTTTGTAGATATCGTCCTGCAGTTTTAGAAAATATATCATTATAGCTGTAAATATTCAATAGTTTTTGAAATATTTGCGACTAAAGTTTTATTACTTCTTTAATTACATATTTATTGCTAATTTGTTCTCAGTTACGTTGTAGCGTAACGGTCACGCTCTAAATTTCCCTGACCACCTGTATATAGTATTTTTTATATATTATGTTATATTATTTTATATTTTATGTTACATTAGTTTATATATTATATTATATTATTTTATATATTAGGTCTGTCATCGTTTTCAAATATAGCCAGGAGTAAAACTAACTTCTAGGTAAACCACATGTATATAAAAATTCTATTCGTAATAACTGCTCCCCTCTCCCCCCTTACCCAGCGACAGATAAATATAGTTTTTTAGTGCCCTTTTCTATATTGTTTATACACCATAATTAAGTGCTCCCTACTTACCAAGTTCCCATATAGCAATAAGTGCAATTACCCGTAAACCAACTGTAAACTACGCGTACTCTGCCTCAAAGTCTTTAGTTTTATAAACTTAGGTTAATCACTATTCCTATTTATACGTTAAACGATATTTGTTGTATTTGTTATTTATTATGTAAATACCCAGAGGCTTTAATAAACGTATGTTAAAAAAAAAAAAAGAAAAGAAAACACTCTAAATTGCTATACCGGAGGACCGGGGTTCGATTCCCGATTTATATTTGCAATTTTTTTCAATTTATTCTTTATTCTGTACTCATTTTTCGCCTATGAAAACTTTGTAAATACACAATTATAAATAAAGTTTCTTAATAAGAAAATTTATTCTTTACGCTTCCTTATGTTAGTATATATTTCTTACAAAATAATAATATTATGTAAGAAAAATACTTTTCTATAGCAATCTTATTTATTACAGGAAATACAAAACCTGTCGGACATGTAAGTATTAATTATTAAATTAAACATCCTATAAGAATGTTGCCTATAATTTCAACTTTGCTGTGCAGCTAGAAATCTTCATGAATTAATTACAAAAACTTGGAAATTTATTAATTTTCTACCGACGTATTGATTTCTAGTATCTAGTTCGAATAAAAATTTTACCGCCTGCGATCAGCGCCATCTATGATTTTAGCTCATTTGCTCGGAAAAGTGATAGGAATATAGAATAGGCAAGGAGGTCGTGGAAGAGCTCGTCACGTGACAGACAAGGACATATCTTCCGTGAAAATATTTAATACTCATCGAAACTAGAAACAAAATGTGAACAAAAGTGATATGAGAAGATTCGCAAGAACATTGTCTTTATAATGAGTGCATAAAGTTTCATAAATTAATTGCGTAAAGGATAGTAATTAATGAAAAATCAATGGCGTCTTCGACAATCTTCGACAATAATTCAAACACTGCGCAAAATAATTATTAATAATTAATTAATTAGGAACAAATTCCTATCGAATAATATATGTGAAAGTTCTTGAAGGATCTGGCTTTACGATGCAATTATAAAAGTTCATAAATTAATCACAGATATTGAGTAATTAGTGAATTTTCCACTGCCGATTTGATTTATTAAAATATATTCGGAGCATATAACCAGAGTTAGTAAACTGACATCAGAGCCATCTATGATTTTAGACTCGAAGTTCCAGTTCCGTAACGAGAACATAAATGGCTGTAATGTCAGTTTATTAACTATGATTATGTCCTTCTAGTATATTTTAATATATTTTAATAAATCAAATCATAAAGTTTTCTACATTCTTTAATGAATTCAGCCCAAACAGTAGTTTTAATTAGGCAATCAGCATTCATTCCTTTATCTGATAGACGACAAATGTGCGAAGGTACGCCTTTACAAACGCAATTATAAAATTTCATAAATTAATCACAGAAATTGAGTGATTTGTTAATTTTTCTCCAAGTGAACAGGAGAGAGCATAGAAAATGAGAAAAAATTGTAAACAAGCATCGGAAGCATTGTTGTGTCCATGCAGGTGTATCTACATCACACAAAAGAAAGTAAGTCTTTGTCTTAACACAAGTTTCAGTTGTAATTAAATAGTGTAAGTTATGAGCCATTGTTTTTCTACCTTTTATTAGTGATCGCAGAGCTTGGTTGTGAAAAGGAAATATTTTGTTGAAATAAACAGGCACATGCAATGGTAGGAAAATATTAGACTCGTGGAATATCACCAACATAGAGCCATGAGATGTAGAAGAATTATATTTTATAGCGAGAAAAAATTGAAGCAGCAATACAAATATGTAAGTTATGATATGTCTATTGGATTCTAGGTCGGCTAACCATATGACATACAAGATAGAAATCTTTGATGGTCAAACAAATATTCAGAAAATGGAGATGGCTTAGGCAGATAAAAGAATAAAACAAATTTAGGTGATGGCCTCTTATAACAACTAGATATAGAGAATGCGGTGAAATTGAAAGGTATATTGTATTCCTAATCTAAATAAATATTAATATCAGTTGTCAAAGTCAATGATCATTGCTAATGTGTTAAATTTCAGAATGATGGAGCTAAGGTACAAAAAGAAAAGAGAGAAGTTCGAATGAAAGCAGTGAAAACAGAAAATGTATATTATGTGGAATCATGAAACAGAAAAAAGGCAGCACATGTATCAACAGAGAAAGATGTTTGGCATCGACATGTAAATATGAAGATAATTAAAGTGATGGAAAATGAGAAATTGGTAATAGTTATAAAAGGTAAGAATAAATTGAATATAAAGTGTAATTATTGCATTAAGGC